TCACTTCAGCTCTCTTCCCACCCAAGTCCCGGCTCGTGATCAGACACGAACGTGCTCTCTTCTCCCCGGTTCCAAATCTAGAGTATCCAGTGTCAACCTGCCGGCATGGTGCTGTGGTCACTGCTTCTGCCAGCACCTCGGATGGGAGGTAGGAGGGGTGCACAGCGGCAACGATTTCAAGGATAAGACTCAGGATCTCAGCTGCCTGCGACAAGCCCAGATGGCTGCACGCCCTGACCGCCCACCCCCAAGCCCACTGCCTTGCGTCAGTGTCGGACATTTGATGGCAGTCAGACAAGCCCCAGAGATCATCTGAGGTTTCCTTCACACCCCCAAACACCTCTATCCAAACTGGTGTCGCACGAAGCTTTACACATCGCCTCTGCCTCCCCTGCCCCAAAGGTTCCGGAGGAGGCCCAGACTGGAGAAACGACTCTCAGCTGGTCCTTGAGAATCTGAGAGCTGCAGGCCACCTCTGAGAAAGGCGCATGTGTGCACACACTCCCCAGGGGCTTTTTGCAGCATTTTAAAGGGATAACCCTTATGAGCCCAAAGTGATAAAACAGCCCAGGTCAGGCACCTGGTATTCAGGAGCAGTGCAATGGGCTGAACCCACACTCCCCAGGCTGAGGACAGAGCCAGAATGAAAACCGACCAACATGTTTACAGATGACGATGAAGCCAGTTGGCACACAGCCACCAAGCCAAGGCCATGTTCTACCGAATTCTCCTCTGCCCATTCCGAACCACCACAAATAAACCTATTTTTCCACAACTGGTTATCTGCACATTTGAGTCACCTCCCCACAATCACCTCAGTGGCCCCAGCACGCAGCGCAGCTCAGTGTCCCCTGCAGCAGCGCCACGGGCCGGGCAACTGTCACAGTTACGTTTCCCCTCGAGCCATCACAACTAAAGCCGGACATTATTCCAAATCTTCCAGTCCTCACTGCCCCATCTCATTCCTCCAGAACACTGTCTTCGGTCACTTCTGGGCTCTAAGACCACGCTCCAATAAAATTCAAAACACAAAACTCAAAGTCCAGCTTCACTAGAACAGTTTCTCCCGTCCCCCAAGCACACCCAACGCTAGGGCCTTCCTCAGCTGCTCAGAACCCGAATGACCATCCAAACGTGGGGGGCTCTGGAGGGACATCCTGCCACCACGCCAACATGGGAATGAATCTTCTCTTCCAGGAGGGGCGCCACCTGACTCAGGTGTTTCAACTCCACTGGGTAGGAAGTCACCACGGGACTTCCATGCAGCCCCTCCACAGAGGCTACGAAAAAGGGCTGGGGAAAAATGCTGAACAATTCAGCTGATACCAAAAGGGTTCTGGAAGAGGGAATGAAGGAGGGAAACACAGTGGTTAACTAAAAACCAGAACCGTAAAATCAGTGCTGGTGTAGGCTATGGAGAAAGAAACTGTTTTGGTGGAAACCTCTGCCTCATCTTGGCCAAGCTTTCTCACACGCGCCACACGGTTCAAACAGCTGTGGAGTATTTCTGTGCCACTAACAGTTCATGGGTGTACGACACAAATACAAACGATTTTCACTTGTCAATTTAAAAATACATTTTGGGGGTGGTGGGGGAAAAATTTAAAAAAAATAATAATAATACATTTTGGCCAGGCGCAGTGGCTTACGCTTGTAATCCCAACACTCTGGGAGGCTGAGGCGGGCGGATCACCCGAGGTCCGGAGTTCAAGACCAGCCTGACCAACATGGTGAACCCCACCCCCATCTAAAAAAAAAACCATTTTTTAAAAAGATGTCACAGGAAAATGATTGGGGGAAAGTGTCTTAAAAAACTCCTTAGGGTGGCGATACTGGGGAGAAGTGAGAAGCACTGGTCCAGACCCGTCAGGACCCCCTCGGTGACAAAGGAAGGCTCTGTGCACTGTAGACGCTGACACACTTCCCCATAGCCACTGGAATTCCGTCCTGTCCCAGAGGCTCTGCGGCAGCCCTCCCCGCCAGGCCTCTGCTCCAGCTTCAAGGAACCCAGGTAAATTTGTGCTACTTTGACTTCTTGAACACGGTTCCAACATCTGCTTAGTTCTCTCACTGAGGGAATTAAACGAATCTGTAACATGCGTTAAGTATGAAAGTCATATTACAGGCCGGGCAAGGTGGCTCACGTCTGTAATCCCAGCACTTTGGGAGGCCAAGGTGGGTGGATCACGTGGTCAGGAGTTCGAGACCAGCGTGACCAACCTGGTGAAACCTCGTCTCTACTAAAAATACAAAAAAATTAGCTGGGAATGGTGGTGCACGCCTTGTAATCACAGCCACTCAGGAGGCTGAGGCAGGAGAATTGCCTGAACCTGGGAGGCGGAGGTTGCAGCGGGCCAAGATGGTGCCACTGCACTCCAGCCTGGGAGACTTTGTCTCAAAAAAAAACAAAAAATAAAAACAAAAAAAAGTCGTATTACAAAAATTTTCTCTCGGAGTTTTTTATCCTGGTAAAATCCACAGAATATAAACTGGGCATACTTGTTAGTGCACAGCCAGTGAGAGTAAATGCACTCGAGGCCTTCCTAGCTGGCCAAGGAGCTGAGGTGAGGCAAAGGCACCTCCCATCAGGTCAAGGGGAATCCCACGGGACCCCCAGGGGGTGGCCTGGCTCAGGGACCTCACGTCCACGCCCCAGCTTCTGGAGTGACCTGGGCAACTCCCACGGTGCCTGGGCCGCTGGGAAACGGGTGCAGACCTGTGATCTCCTTCAAACTCTCCGGTGGGCGACTGCGGCCTCGCTTCCGAGGTGGAGGGGTTGTGTGGACGAAGGGGAAAGGGAGGCAGCCTGGCCCACAGGGTGGGTCCTGGCTCTCCTCTCCGCCGGGCTTCTGAGCAGGTGGCTTCGGAACCTGCCACCCGCCCGAGGCACCGACGCCTCTCCAGGTTCCCGGGCAGGACCCCTGCAGGGCCGCCGGCTCCAGCGCTTCCGCGGACCGCAAGCGCCTTCTTCCACTTTCTCCGGAGCGAGCCCCGGCTCCGGGGACGGAGTCCACACGCGCTAGCCCAGCACTAACCGGCCTCGGGCAGGGCCGCACCCACCCCGGGGCCAGCCCGCGCCCCGAGTCCCGCGCCCCGCACGCTGCCTCCCGGCGCCCGCCCTGAGCAGGTGCAGGCCCTCCGGCCCTCCCCGGACCTTCGCACCGGGACCCCCGCACTGACACCCCGTGCGCCTCGCACCTTTCCCGCGGGCGCAGGAGCCTGAGGCGGGGGCCTCGGAATGCGGCCAGCCTGGGGGAGCGCCAGGCGGGGGCCTGCCGGGGAAGGGGCGGCCCGGAGGCGGAGGGGGCGTCGCGGGAGCCTGGAAGCCCGCGGGGCCGGGCGAGGGCGGCGGGGCGGGGCCGGGACGCGGGCCGGGGCGGTGGCCACCCACCTCCTTGTCCGGGACCCATTGCGGCTCCTCCAGGCCGAACGGGCTTCCGAAGGCGCGGTGCTCCGGCACCATGCGCAGACCGCTGGGGGAGCGCACCAGCTTCTTGGCGTCGCGGCGCGTGGACACTTCGGAGGACATGACGCCGCCTCAGCCTCTCGGCCCGAGGCCCCGCACCCGGCCCCTAGCCCAGCCCGGGGACACCGCCCGCCCCGCCCCGGCCCGCGTGCGGCTGACAGCACCGGCGTCCAATCGCCAAGCCCGCCACGGGGCGCGGACCAATCGGAATTCAACCTCTGCCCCCTCTCCAATCCGCGTAAGGGCACCGCCCCTGCCACCCTGCGGCCGGTGACCAATCGGCGGTGAGGGCTGGCCCGGGCGTGCTCCGCCCGCCTTGGAGGGATTGAGACTTTGGATTGGCTAGTTGGTCAGTCACGTCGGCGTCACTTCGTCGCTGATTGGTGTAGCCCTCTCAGGGCTCCCGGCGCCTATTGGAGGAGGAGGCTGAGAGGGGCGGGACGGCGCGAAGACGAGAGCGGGGCCCGCGGTAGGTGAGACTCGCTGAGCCGCGGTGCGGGCCCGGGCGGCGGTGGGGTCTGGCGTCGTTGGCCTCCGCGGGCGTGAGGGGTGTGGCAGGGTCGAGGGCCAGGGGCGTCCGCGGGTCTCCACTGCCCGAGCTGGCTGGAGCAGACGGGCCTGAGGCTGCAGCCCGGGTCGCGTTCGGGCGCCTCCCTGGGGAAGGCGGGCTCGGGGGTCCCCGGTGCACCGGAAGGCCGAGGTGAGCCCGCGGCTGCGCCCCCGGCCTTGGGAGCCTTCGCTTGCCTGCCTGGGACCGCGCTGGCCTGGCAAAGAGGTGGGAGAGGTCTGAACACAGTTATTTAATGCTTTAGTTTGGAAAGAAAATCTTTAGGCCAGGCGTAGTGGCTCACGCCTGTAGTCCCAACACTTTGAGAGGCCGAGGCAGGCGGATCACGAGGTCAGAAGTTCAAGGCCAGCCTGGCCAACATGGTGAAACCCCTTCTCTACTGAAAATACAAAAATTAGCTGGGCATGGTGACACTTGCCTGTAATCCCAGCTACTCGGGAGGCTGAGGCAGGAGAATTGCTTGATCCCGGACCTGGGAGGCAGAGGTTGCAGTGAGCCAAGATCGATCGTGCCCACTGCACTCCAGCCTTAGCTACAGAGGGAGACTCCGTCTCAAAAAGGGGGGAGGGGAAAAAAAAACTTTGTTTATCCTCCCTTTAATTTTTTATTACAAGGCAGGAATTTTTATTGTTTGAGACAGGGTCTCGCTCAGTCGCTCAGGCTGGAGTGCAGTGTGATCACAGCTCAGTGCAGCCTTGACCTCCTGGGCTCCCGAGTAGCTGGGACCGCAGGTGCCACCACGGTTCTCGGCTATTTTTCTTTTTCTTTTTGGTAGAGAAGGGGTCTCGCTGTATTGCCCAGGCTGGTCTCGGACTCCTGGGCTCAAGCAACCTGCCGCCTCGGCCTTCCACGGTGCTGGGATGACAGGCGTCAGCAGTTGAGCAGCGTTGAAGCCTCAGAAGTGGGGTCCCTGTGGCTGACTCTGCCCCCCGCCCTTGGGCATTGGCAGTACCGGGGTCCTTGTGTGTGAAGGAAGTAAGGAGATGATCAGAGTATGATGCCACAAATCGCATGGTTTACTGTCAAAGAGAATTTGTTTCTCGGTTTCACAGTGCTCAGGGGAGGCAGGAGGAGGAGGCAAAGACTCCTGGCAGGGAGGCAGGCGCTCCGTGGGCGAGGTGCATCGGCCGCAGGGAGGCAGTGCCAGAATGGGCAGAGTCCAGTCGCTCCACTGGGATGGAGCAGGCCTCTGGAAAACGAGGTCTGGTTCAAGATGTGCCTTAATAGCCACAGAGAGCGGGAGCGCAGCAGCTCTCTGAGAGGCTGGGATGGAGGACCAGCTCCCGGGCCAGCAGAGTATAGCTTGCCTCAAAGCATCTGCCCAACCTTCAAGTTGGTCTGTATTTTTGCAGTCCAGGAGTTAAGGTCAGTAACTCACATAAAGGGGGGAGTGTCTGAGAAGGTTTAAGTGGTGTTTCCACTTGAGACCTCACAGATGTGGTCTGATAAGACATCACACTCTTGCAGGAGGGTGAGTTCACCCCAAAACATCAGACTATGTGAGTGCTAGGAATCACTTCAAAGCCACACAGCAGGTCCCAGGCCCGAGGCAGAGGAGGGAGCCCACCTTGGAAGGGTGGGAGCAGCTCCAGGCTGCGACCACAGCACTTTCGGAGTCTGGCCTGTGAGCCTGACAGCTCTGGTGTGACCATTCACACTCACCTAGCAGTGCCTGACAGCAGCTCTTCCCAGAAGTCATGGCTCAGCTTGGGCGCTGCCGGAAGAGGCACCGGTCTGTCTTGGGCCTGCCCCTTGCCTACCGAGGCAGCTCCCTGTGTGTGGCCTTCACCCTGGTGGAGGGACGGGCTGGTCACGCCCCTGCCCCTTGCAGAGGTGGGAGGACAGAGGCATGCATGGGGCTGTCTGTGGAGCTTCCAGGCCAGTGTCGAACATAGCAGGTGCTTGGTGGTAAATGGAAAATATTCCAGGATATTTGTGAAAGCACGGTAGGCAGACCATGGTTTCGTTCAGAAACTCTGGGAGGTATAGGAACCACTACACCAGGGTCTTGCAATGGGAAGGAGGCTGGGCTGGTGGGGCTTACAGCTCCAGAGCAGGGCGAGGTCAGAGGAGGGAAGGGTGCGAAGCGGAACCCACAGGGGTGAAGGGGATTTGGCTTAAACTGACCTGCCAGGAGATCAGGCCGCCCTGGGGACAGTGGAAGATGAGGAGCTCCATCAGCTGTCAAGGGCAATGGGACACAGAAGGAGGTCCTCGCTAAACTGACTGAGCCAGGCCTGTTAAATCAAGTTCTCACCAGGATGTGCACAGCGCCCTGGAGGAGCTCAGGAGCTGGGCTGCCATGCCAAGCAGGGAGCCTGTTAGCTGTCAGTGGGCACTCAGCTTCCAGACATCTTGGCCCGTGTTGCAGAGGCCAGAGATGCTGCAGCCACACGCTGGCCTTCCCAGTGCTCGTGCGTGTCCCGCTGCTTGGCACAGTCCGAGTTGCATATCCAGATCCAGCCCAGGGCAGCAGCCTCCTCACAGCCCCCAGACCAGCCTCTCTGGCAGTCACACCTGCTCAGGGAACTGTCCCCCCAGTGCAGATGTGTGCTGGCGCTCGGGCTGTGTTTGGGTGGTGCGTCCGGTGTGGGGGTCCCCTACCAGCCCCGAGGTTCATACTCCACAGGCTGCTTCCTGTTCTCAGGGCTTGGAGAGTGCCATGTTCTGAAAACCACCTTCCTCAACCAGGGAGGCCACATCTCCTTTGACAGCGCAGTGCCTTCTCTGGAGGTGGCATTTCCTTATTTGCCTTCTGTGCCCGGGAACCTAACCTCCTCACTCTGGCCAGCTCTGCCAGCAGTTTTGAGCCGGTCCAGCACCCCACTGCCGTGCCTTGGCCTGCGCCTGGCCCTCCAGGGTGGCTCCTTGCCAGTTCCTGTCAGGCTGCCTGGGCACTTTCCTGTTCCTTGTTCAGAAAACCCACAGGCTGTGGGGCCCCAGAGCCTGGTACGCAGGCAGGAAACACATCCTGGAGCGCCAGCTTCCCTGCCCTGTCCGCCTCGATGGTGCCTGGGGGTACGCCTCAGCCTGCGGCCCCCGCAGTCCATTCTCCACACCATGCCCGTCTCCCTGAGCAGGCTGAGCATGGGCATGTGAATGACCAGCGTGATCGCATCCAGGCCAGTGCCACATTCTGTGTGGTTCGAGGAAAAGCCTTCTCCAAGTCCGAGGCCCGCCCTTTCCTCCGCTGGATTTCGGCTGAGGCCACTGCGCCAGACCTCACTGGAAGACATGGACCCTGGACCTGACCCTCAAAGCTGCTGCCTTCTCATTTCCCAGTGCCCTGGACACTCCTGGTCTTACCATTTGGGAGGCCGACGGGACGCAGAGTGGCCTGTCGGAAGGGCCTTGTGTGACCCCAGGCTGGGTCCCTAAGCAGCCTGCCGAGGCCAGAGAGGAGAAGAGCCGAGCTTCTCCCTCGCTGGGCCGGGCTCGGGCTGTGGAAGAGCTGCCAGCTCCCTTCCTGGTAGAGGCTGGGTGGGGTCCACAGGGCCTTCCGCCCGCCTGGAAGGAAGCTGTTTTCTGCTGTTGGCTGCTGAGACAGTTGGGGGCCGCTGGTGTTGAGATTCCTGAAGCACCCCGCAAATCCCAGACTCAACTTCCCACTTTTTCCAGAGTCCCCAGAGACACACTTAAGGGAAATTAAACTGTAGAATGCAAGAGATGCCTCAGTCAAATCAGCCGGAAACACACAGGGCAGATGGGTCATCTGCCGCAGGAGGATGGTCTTGATTCTAGCACTTTCCATATGGGGTGAATGTGGCGGGCTTGGGGGATTTTTCAAATGTGTCAGTGTCTGGAATGGGTTCTAAGCTACCAAATAATTCTTAGAGGTAAATTACAGACGTGTTGCCTCATAGCTAGACCGCATTCCCTGTACAGTGAAGTCTCTCCTCCACCCTCAGTGACAGACACCTCACAGACACCATGGCTGCTGTCACTTCCCTGCTGCGCGCCTCCCACAGACAGGCGGTTTGAATTGGCGAGTGCCCATGCGTCCGTTGTTCTGTCTTTCCTGCGAAGTTAATCACCCTGGTGATCAGCCCACCGACAGAATGGACTTGGATCTGCTGGACCTGAATCCCAGAATTATTGCTGCAATTAAGAAAGGTACATTTATTTCTATTTGTATAAAGTAGGTTTGTGATGTAAAGTGTGTGTGTGTGGCGGGGGGGTAGGGGGGGTGCACATTAAAGAAAGCAAGTTAACAAAATGCTGGCTCTCTAAGCCTGAGGCCTCCTCCCTTTACCTACCTGATAATAAACCAAGGCTGGGATGTGCTTGGGATTTTCAGGGGTGTGTGTGTGTATGTGTGTATGTTTTCTTAACTGGACGGACTTCTTTCAGTTAATTTTATTTTTATCTAAGTAATACCTGCATCTTGTCTCAAAAGTGAAATGGAGCCACATAAAAGTCTTCTAGTTAATTTTTTAAAAAATGTTTATACCTGGGCTCCTAAATGTGTTTCTGTTACAGTGTTTGATTTGTCAGTGTTATTGATTACCCATGGTCTTCCTTTCGGGGTCGGTGAGAATTGAGCCTGCCTACACCCCCTGTACCCCAGCTTCCTCTCCCCCAGCTCCCTGCACATAGTTAGAACTTAGTTTGGGTGACATCAGCTGTCGGGGTTGTTATTGGGTGCATACTGGCCATTGTTGAACCTGGTGTAGTGGTGTTGGGGGGTCATTTTCATTCTTAAAACATCTTTTCCTCTGAGTTAGTAAATGCTCAAAGCTTAGGCCCCACTTGCAGCCCCCAACCCCTGCTCCCCATGCCTGTGGCCCAGCTGTCATCTAAAACACTCCTTCCATCCTCCATCTTCCCCATCTCCCAGGTGAGAAGCCGGAGTGCACGCTGAGCCTCTGCAGCGGCTTGGTGACAGGGCAGGGCCTCACTGTCCTGCCCCTCCATCCTTGGCTGTTGGTTTTTATCCAACACCACAGGGCTGTTGGTGGCCTTGTGATCACAGAATGGCTGCAACAGCTGCAGACAACGCTTGCAGTCCAGGGTCAGAGAAGGGGAATGGGCTCAGCTAGGGACTTCCTTTCTCACCCATGTTATCTTATCCAGAAATGAGTGTTTCCAGAAGTCCCTGCAGACTTGGCCATTGTGAAGGGGGCTGGGGCCGTGAGGCTGACCAAGGGGAGCCGTCCCCACCGACAGCCCCAATCCCTGCCAGTCCACAGGGCTATACAGAGCCCTCTGGAACAGGCTGTCTGTGTGAAGCCTGCTCCGCTGGATCTGGCGAGACCTAGGAGTGCTTTCTTCATTCCCACCTTTCCATCTCCTTGAGTTTTCTGTATGGCCTTTCCAAAAATCACACCAGTGATGACTGTTTTCCAACTTGATGGTTGTCTTTTCACTGCAGCATTGAGCGCACACGTGTTGAGGGAGGTTCTGATGCGGCAGGTTTGAGTCTCTGTGGCTAGGCGGAGCCCTTGGTCCACCACTGCTTCCTCTCCAGTGCGCTTCCTCACACTCCCTTGATCCCACCACTGTGGCTTCCTCTCCAGTGCACCTCCTCTCTTGCACTTCCTGATTGGCCACTGCTTCCTCTCCAGTGCGCCTCCTCTGTTGCACTTCCTGATTGGCCACTGCTTCCTCTCCAGTGCGCCTCCTCTCCTGCACTTCCTGATTGGCCACTGCTTCCTCTCGCGTGCGCTTCCTCTCTTGCACTTCCCTGGTCGTCTGATCGGTCTGCAGCATTTGCCTTCTTTCTACGAGTTTGAAAGTAGAAAGTGAAGTACTTATCCACATCCAAAGTTAACTTCTTTACTTTTCTCCCAAAACGGCAGGTCATGGGCATCTGCACTTCTGTAACCGCTGCCACTGCCCTTCTGGTTTGCGCACACTCTGCCCCCTGCCCTGACCGCCCTGCTGGTGTTTGGACCTGGGCTCTCCTTCCCTCCCAGCACTGCGTGCTCCCCCCGACCCCACACGTGTTCTCTCCCACAGCTCAGCCTGGGTCCATACCTGGCGGGTGGGTGCTGGACCTCGGTGTTGGTTCTTCGCTGCCCCTTTCTAGAGCACTGTCTCCACCTGGCATGGAACTGGGTGCCTGTTGTTTCTTCTCAGCACCTGGGACCTGCCTGTTCCCGTCTTCTGGCTTCTGTTCCAGCTCATGAGAGGCTGGCACCTGCCCAAGTGCCAACACTCAGGGTGCAGTGCCCCACAGCCCTTTCCTCTTGCCTGTGGGTCAGCCACACTCTGTCCAGGGTTTCCAGGGAGCAGGGGCATCCAGTCCCTACCCACCTTGCCCCCAGAATCGGAAGCACAGTGTTTTCACAGTGCTCTTAAAAGCACCTTTTGTCGCCATGTTGCCGTGTGTTATTATAGTTTGACGTTTTCCTGTAATTTATCTGTGTCATTTCAGCCAAACTGAAATCGGTAAAAGAGGTTTTGCACTTTTCTGGACCAGACTTGAAGAGACTGACGAACCTCTCCAGCCCCGAGGTCTGGCACTTGCTGAGAACAGCCTCCTTACACCTGCGGGGAAGCAGCATTCTTACAGGTAGGTGGGTCCTGGCATCTCCGCGGGGGTGACATGTGGCTCCAGCATCTCAGTCCATGTGCTACAAGGCATGGGGCTGTGCAGACTCCAAGGACCAGCCTTGGGGCATGTGGCAGCTGCTCCAGCCCCAGAGTTCCCATCTCACTTCTTGTACACCCACGGGGCTGTGGTCACAGCATCGGGTCAGAAGATGGATGAGATGGACACGGAAGGGCTTTCGGGCCTCCTGGGGACCTTGCTCCTTGGGCCAGAGGAGGGGGATGCAGGAAGAAGGGGTGGAGTTGGTGGTCAGCACCCAGAGCCCCTCAGGGTCTAGCAGGGTGGGAACAGTGTGCTGTGAGGCCCTGGCCGCGGTCCCACCCCACGTTTGGGAAACCAGGCCTCAGCAAGGGAGGGAGGTGCCCAGCGAACCCCGTGCCCCTGGCCAGGCAAGGTTTCCATCCCTGCCTCTGAGCAGGCCCCAGTGGGCAGCGGGGTCCTGCCTCCCCTGCAGGTGGTTCTGTGAGCCCAGGCTCTAGAGAGGACGCTGAACCAGGATCTGCCACAGTGGGCAGGTGCCACAGCCACACACGGTTCCATGGGCAGGGCTCTGGGCAGGCCTCACAGTCACAGTGGCCTGCCCTACCCAGCCAGGGTCCCCAGGGTGGTCTGCAGAGATGGGCTGCTCCTCCCGGCCCAGGCCCCAGGCCACGAGCCCGGCCTGCACAGCATGTCCCACCTTGAGCCTCACCCTGAGGGGCCTGGGTGTCGTGGAGGAGGCTGTGTCGAATGGCTCATCCAAGGCCCTTTAGCCAAGAGGCTGTGACCAATACTGTTCTAGAGTGGCATCTGTCACAGACCACTGACGGCATGAGGTGTGCACTGTGCACATGCGGGAGCCCATCGAGGGCTCAGACTGCTTAGCACCCCAGGGCACCCCAGTTGGACGGAGCTGCCTTTTTCTTTAGGCGGAGGTTGTTAGGGGGCGCCTCGGGGCTCTCCGGAATCCTTGGCTGAAGGCACCTGGTGCTGCAGTCGCCCAGTAGGGAGATTCTGGGGGTGTGTGATGGGGACCCTGGGGCTCCCCCGACTCTGCACCTCAGGTCCACCTTCCCTTCCCAGCCAGGCCACCCCTCCCTGCCCTCAGCACCCTGCCCACTCCTCCCTGCCCTCAGGCACCTGTGCTCCAGCCACGCTGCGCCTGGCACAGGCAGGCTGGCCGTGCCTCCTGAGGTCCCCAGCCCTACCCACAGACCCAGGAGAGCCAGGCCTGATGCCACCCCTGCCCTGCAGCACTGCACCTATGCCAGCAGAAGGAGCGGTTCCCCGCACAGCACCAGCGCCTGAGCCTCGGCTGCCCGGTGCTGGATGCACTTCTCCGTGGTGGCCTGCCCCTGGATGGCATCACCGAGCTGGCTGGACACAGCTCTGCGGGAAAGACCCAGCTGGCGCTGCAGCTCTGCCTGGCCGTGCAGTTTCCACGGCAGCATGGAGGCCTAGAGGCTGGTGAGCAGCTGCCCCTTCCCTGGGGTCTGGGCAGGTGGGGGGGCCCTGCTTTGTGTGGGAGAGTTTTCTGCTGAGGTTGGGGAGTGGTTGCCTCTCGGGCCGTTCCTACCATTGTGTCTCCCTCCTCCTTCCCGTCTTATTTGCCATCGCTCCTTCCAGAACAGGGAGGGAGAAGAGAGGCTGAGCTTGGCTGACAGCAGGAGGGGAGGGGGGAGGAATCCCCACCGCCAGGCGCCTGCAGCCTGCCCTCAGCAGAGCTAGGCCCCCGAGAGTCGCCGGCTGAGCACAGCTGCCAAGCCCGGGGTCCACAGAGCCAGCAGCACATCGAGGGCAGCATGGCCCTTCTCCCGGGTGCTCCAACGCCAGGCGGGGGCATGCTCCTGGTGCAGCCCCATGAGCCTGTACGTCTGTCTGTGAAACAAGGGTTCCCTGCATTGGGCTGAAGCAGTCAGAGTGCGCCTGCTTGGGTCTCTGGGGTGTTAAAAGTTCATGTAGTTATGAGTAGGGAAATGTGTTTCTTACTAGCTCCTTGTCTTAAACTCCATGTGAACACAGAGTGGCAGCTTTTTTCAGTAGTGGCACCTTCAAGCTCACCTGCTAGGCTCACTTCCCACATGGGGCAGGACCCGAGGCCCTGGGCCCACAGGCCCCACCAGCCACCTCCTCACAGGCCTGACCTGCCAGCGGTGGTGTGGCTGGGAACCTCTCCACTGCCTCCCTTATGTCAGCATCGTCCCCGGGACCCAAGGTGTGCTGTGCCTGCTGAGCCTCAGTGTTGGGTGTAGTGGAAGGGGGCTCCTGAGAGACCTGGCTGGGGTCTGCTCACGCCACAGGCATTTTTGTCCCTGCAGCCCTGGGGAGGGCACCCTCCTGGCAGGTGCCTGGGTCCCTGCAGCTGGTCTCGGGGTGAGCCTGGAGACAGCCAGAACGATGGGAGTTGGCCTTGAAAATGGGAGTCTCCTGTTTATCCCACGGAAGAGTTTCTGTGAGGTAGAGGCAGGACTCAAGTGTGCTGGGAACTGGACGGAAACTGCCCTCATTCTCCAGCGTCCTCCATGCCAGGCTTCCTGCAAATGTGATTTGGGCTATGACTCCCCCGAGCCTCCATTCTGTTGGCCTTTTCAGTGAAGCCCACACTCCCCCGTGTTCCAGGGACACGCGAGCCTTAGGACACCCTCCCTGCATCCCCCAGCTATGCCCAGCCCAGTGACTGCTGCGGGAAAGAGCACGTTGGCCTTGTGGGCTAGGGGCAGGGAGGAGGCCCCAGGCCACCGTGACCACGGGCAAGATTAGCTCTAAGATGCCCTCTCCTGGGGAAACAACCTTCTTTTCCTAGATTCAATCTAAAGGCCCAATTTTTGAAAAGAAAGTGGCAGGCAGGCTCTGGAGTGATTCTGAGTCCTGTGCTTCAGCCACGTGAGGCCCTCCCAGGCCCGCAGGGGCCCCGCCCACCACTGGGCTGCCCACAGCCACCCCCCTGCCAGCTTCGCAGTGTCCTGGTGGCTGTGCAGCCCCTTCATGCATCACCCCAACAAAAACAGGCTGCTTGACCGGTTCCCCCTGCTTCCCAGCCTTCCAGCCCAGCCTCTCCCCAGCCAACAGGGCGGAGGAAGCGCAGGCCCCCGCCTGCCTGTGACCCCAACTAGGGGCACAGCCACATCTGGGGACACTGGTGAGGAAGGGAACCAGCCACAAGAGAGATGTGGCCTTCCAAGGTAGTATTTGTACATCCCTGGCCCCAAGTGGGCCAGATGCTTCTCAGAAGCTTAATTCTGACACAGAACAGGGGAGGGCTCTTGACTGTCTTTGCAACTCTTCTCTATGGTTGAAATTCTGTCAGAAAAAATCAGATCAGAATGAAAGGTTACATGGACACTCACCAACAGGCTGCATGACACAGCGTGGGGTGCTGGCTCCCCACAACTGCTGTACCGCTGGAGGAACCGCCATGGCTGGACCGCCTTCCTGGCATAGTCAATGCCTAGGGAGCTCATGGCTTTTTTTTTTTTTTTTTTTTTTTCGGGAGACTAGAGTTTTATTATTACTCAAATCTCTCTCCCCAAGCATTCCTGTTTTTTAAATTGAGATGTAATTTACATGCCATAAAATTCACTCTAAAAGTGTAAAATTCAGTGGCTTTTAGAAGCACAGAATTCTGTGCCCCTCACCGGTGTCCAATTCCAGAACATATCCCTCACCCTAAAAGGAAACCCCTCCCAATGAGTGCAAGCCCCATCCCCAGCAGCCGCCTCCCTTTCTGTACCTGTGGCTCTTCCCATCCTGGGCACGCCATGCGAGCGATTCCAACAGCATGTGGCCTCACGACAGGCTTCCTTCACTGGCATTGTGCTTTCAAGGTTCACCAGTGCTGGAGCAGGCGTCGGAACACCGTAAGGACAGGCCGAATCCTGTTGGTCCCCTCCTCAGTTGATGGCATTTGGGCCGTTTCCCCTTCGGGCTGTCATGAAACGCACTGCTGTGGACACTGATGTGTGTCTCCAGGCGGATGTCTGTGCTCGCGGGACTGCTGGGTCATGTGATTTGTGTTTTAACTTTTTAAGGAAGTGCCGGTTGTTTTCCGAGCTGCACCATTTTACATTCCTGCAGCAGCGTGCAGGGGTCCTTCTTCTCCACGTCCGCACCAACACGTGTCTTTTTAAGCCAGCTTTTTGAACTGAGCAATGGCACAGGTTCACGTGGAGCCCAGACTGCAGGAACTTTGAAAGTGGAAGAAACACTTGCTCAGTGGGGCCCTAGAGCATGGCCATATGTCGGGCTCGGGGGCCATTTCCAGAGCCTTCCATTTGCTCCCTGCCCTGCGGTGGGGGGACAGATGGGCACGGGGGTCATGGGGTGGGGGGCAGGAGAGGCCTCCCATCTGTGGCCATTCCAGCCCAGGGCCCAGGACAGGAGAAGTCCTTGCCTGGCTGTCAGAAGTGGAGGCTCAGCCCGTGTTCCTCCTGGGCACTCGCCTGGCTCCGAGGTGGCTGCCAGTGGGAGAAAGAACCAGCGCCAGCCTCCTCCCTCCCTGGGCCAGGGGGGAAGAACCTGAGAGGGGCAGTTAGAAATGGTAGGAGACATCTGCACTTGATGTATGTGGTGGCCACGGGCTGTCTGGAGCCCCCTAGGCACATCAGGCACTCTGGCTTCCCAGGAGCCGTCTACATCTGCACAGAAGATGCCTTCCCACACAAGCGCCTGCAGCAGCTCATGGCCCACCAGCCACGGCTACGCACTGACGTTCCAGGAGAGCTGCTTCAGAAGCTCCGATTCGGCAGCCAGATCTTCATTGAGCACGCGGCCGACGTGGTGAGTGGGAGAAGGCCTGGGACATCCCAAAGGCAAGCTGTTCAGGACCACAGGGGCGGCTATAGCCACCATGGCAGTGGGATCTCAGTAGGACCAGGAGAGACAGGACTCAGCTCTGAACACAGCGTAGGCCATGGGGGTTTACACCCAAGGAGCGGGCGCGTCAGAGGCTGGAGAGTGACTGGGCGGAACTGGCAGGGGAGGGGTTCTGGCTGAAGTGTCCTGCCAGGATCCTTGCCAAAGGTGGGCCGTGGGGGATCAGATCACCCCTGGGGACAATGGAGGATAAGGAACGGATCAGCCACTGAGGGCGACGGGATTCTCAGCAGGGACTGCCAAAACTGGATTTCATGAGGACATGCACAGATGGGCCTAGGAGGCGGCTAGGAGCCTGATGGCAGTTTGGCCAAGCCGAGAATCCTGGCCAGGAGTGGCTGTGGGCTGCGACATCCAGTTATGTCTCAATCTCAGGCAGCTTCAAAGCATGGTCTAGAATGAGGATGCCCATATTCAGACTGACTTTGTCATCTGAAACTCATGTAACTGAACGCCTGTACACCCTCTGTGTCAACCCTGCTCATGAAGACGGAGTAGAGAAGCCAAGCCCCAGGCGGGTGGCAAGGGCCTCCTCTGGGCTTCAGGCCCCTGGTCAGCTGCCCCTGACCACCCTGAGAAGGGTGGGACCTGCTACTGCCCTGGTGAGAGAGCTGTGTGGGTTTCACCCCTGCCTCTAAGGGGAAGATGGCCCTCACTGGGGACACAGGCTGGGCACCCAGCTGAAATAGGCAACCTCAGATCCTTGACTGCCACCTGGCCGCTGGCCTCCTGCACACACTGGCTGGGCTTGGAGGAGGGACCCCCATGGCAGGGCCTTCCAGAGAGCAGGGGCCACTCACGGGGGGCCAGTCAAGTCCGCCCTGCAGCCAAGAAGCAGGCGAGAGGCCGGGACACATTTTGGCAGCGGGGGCAGCAGTGCTGTGAGCTATCAGTGTTTAGTTTAGAGATCATTCCAGGGAGGGAGAAGTGATGAGTAGAAAAGATCCAGGAGGAAAGATGGGAAGTTTGAGAGTAAACCCTGACCAAAAGCAAACAAGGAAATTATGCCCTGCGCAGGGGGAGCAGCTGCCATGCCCAGCCCACCCTTGGCATGGCTGTGGCTGGGCAGAGCCCCTAGCTCCCAGGTGGGCCTTCCCCCACTTCTAAGAGTTCCTATAAAAAAAATCTTCCAAGTGAAACATAAGGCATATAAACTTTTAATTTAAAAAAATGTACAATAAAATACATTATGGCACACAACTCGAGGAAGTTACACATGGGAGGGGAGCTGTGGGCCCAGCTCATGCCTCAGGTCTCCTGGGAAAGGCCACACCGCACCAGGGCACCAGCTTCAGCCCAGCCCCAGCCCCAAGGCTGCGCCAGCTGTATAATCATTACTATTATGCCGCACGCACACAGATGCAGGAGAAATAAGAGTGCTGCGGCTCCCACCGGGGCCCTCCCTGCCACCCTGGCTGTCTCAGGCCAGCTCTGGGCCACACTCGGCATTCCCATCCTGGAGTGGGACCAGGTCGGGGTCACTGCAAGAGAAAGTGGAAGGTCAGGGCTAGACTGCCAAAACCTGATAGTGTTACTAACTTCTGTTCCGGAAACGGCTCTCTGGGGAGCCCTGACCCCAAGTCTGCCTAGAGCAGCGGGTGTTGCTGGGTGTGAGCCTCCCTGGGGCCGAGGCGTTCATGGGCAACTGGAGCGCCACAGGCCTGAATCTGGCAGAGGGGAGGCCAGTGGTGTAGACACAGCCTTCTCTTGGCGTAAGCAGGGCCTGGTGCCATTCCCACCCCACACTTTGCTGTGGCCCTTGGGCTTGCATGAGGATGGGGCTTCCTGAGCCAAGCCCCTCTTGGAGGCCCAGCCCTGCAGCTCGAGGCAGCCACCACTTGCCCATCCCCAGCCCCCAGGTGCCTGCCTCCCGGGGTTGCAGGCTGTGGAACTCACGTTAGCGATAGCGTCTTCCAGGCCGCTGCTGCTGCTGTCGTGCTCCACAGAAAGAGGCTCGGCCAGAGACGCCCTGGAGACGAAGCAGAGTGTCACTCAGGGCTTGCAGGCAAGCCCTGAGGCATCTTCAGAGCTCCAGGTGTGACACCAGGGTGTGGCTGCAGATCTTGGACTTGAGGGGCAACCTAGGGGTCCCTCACAGCCTCCATCTGGCCAGAGCTGCTGGCAAGGCCCATGAGGCCTGAACTGCCCTGCTTGGTGCCAGGAGCAGCTGTGCCACCCTCCCCCATCACCACCGCTCACTAAGCTCCGTGGTCAGAGGCCAAGCCATGCCAGTGGCCCTAGCACCCACAGAGCACAGCAGCACCCAGAGGGAGGCTGAGGATACCTGCCTTCCTTGGGGGCCCCTCCCCTGGAAGCCCTCCTGAGAGCCGGTGGGCACAGGGCCATTTCTACCCCTTGGCCAGGCCTGCTCAGAGCACAGGGCTAAGGTCTGGGGGCACAGGAGGCACTGGCCTTGGGGGTGTCTCCACCTGCAGCCCCACCCTGACCCCCAGATGGTCTCCCAGAGTGCCCCACGCCTCGGTAGAGGCAGGCCAGGCCAGGCCTGACCCACCTGAGTAACAGCCTGAAGGGCATCAGGCCCCTGCCTTGCGCAGTATCTGGAGAGGGTACATCCCAGGTGATCATGGCCACCACAGGCTAGCTTTGATGGCATTCTGGCCAGGTCTGGGTAGTCTCGGCACCTGGCATGGGGCCACTAAAGGAGGGGGCTGGTAGCTGCTGACCCGTGACAGGGAGATGGTGAAACCATGGCAGGAGTGGGAGCAGACCCCCACAAGGACTCAGGAGCCTGGGCAAAGGACACTCTGTAGAGGGCAGTGTTGGCACGGCCAAGGGGTGATTGCCTGGGAGGACCAGAGGGGTCCAAGGGAACCAGATGTGTGGGCCTGAAGCTTCTATAATTGGAGCCTTCACTGAACTGGGCTCTGAGTATGGGGACTGCAGAGCCGGCGTCATCAGCCCCCGGTGGGTGGGATGATTCCGAGTCAGACAGTCGAGGTGACAGTCCAAAGGGGGTCTGGTCATCTGGGGCAGGGGCTGCAAAGGCAATGGCAGCTGTCCCCACAGGACACCTTGCTGGAGTGTGTGAATAAGAAGGTCCCTGTTCTGCTGTCTCGGGGCATGGCTCGCCTGGTGGTCATCGACTCGGTGGCAGCCCCATTCCGCTGTGAGTTTGACAGCCAGGCCTCCATCCCCAGGGCCCGGTGTCTGCAGTCCCTGGGGGCCACGCTGCGTGAGCTGAGCAGTGCCTTCCAGAGCCCCGTGCTGTGCATCAACCAGGTGGGTGGCAAGGCAAGGGTGCAGCCATGAGCTCGTATTTTTAGCCAGGATGTGAAGCAGAGCTGGTCTGGAGGTGGGGTGGGTGGCAGCGAGGTGGCCTCTGGCTCTGGCGGGTAGCAGCTTGTGCCTAACCATCGGGAAGACCCTCAGCCGCTGGAGCTGACCTGGACTGGGCTCTTCCAGGTGACAGAGGCCGTGGAGGAGCAGAGCACAGTGCACGGGCCGCCGGGGTGAGTACAGCCATATGGCGTGTGCACCTCTGCACAGGTGCCGGGGTGCAGCTGGGCCGACGTGGGCAGGGCTACCCAGCCTTCTGAGCGCCAGCCCACTTCCTGTTTCTCAGGTTCTGGGACGAGCGCATTTCCCCGGCCCTTGGTATAACCTGGGCCAACCAGCTTCTGGTGAGACTGCTGGCTGACCGGCTCCGTGAGGAAGAGGCTGCCCTCGGCCAGCCGGTCCGGACCCTGCGGGTGCTCTTTGCCCCCCATCTGCCCCCCTCCTCTTGTTCCTACACAGTCAGTACAGAAGGGGTGCGAGGGACACCTGGGACCCAGTCCCACTGACACGACAGCAGCTGCAGAATGGCCCTGCCTGAGAAGCCCTGACACACTGGTGCTCGGCCTTTAAAATGCTGTCTGCCTTGGCCGTGGCACAGCTGGGAACCTGGGTCAGAGCCCTCCTCCAGGGCAGCAGCTCCACTTTCTCAACCGAAGATGGTGACCACAGACTGATCCCCACCTGAGCTGGGCAGGAGGTGGGGGGCAGGGCACTGTTCCACCCCTCCCTGGGTTTGGGGGCAGGTGATTCTCAGGCCTGGGGCCTGGGGGTGTCCCTACAGTGACTCCCTAGGAGCCCCCCTGCCTCAGCTTTCCACATGAAAGCCCACCTGGGGTCAGGTCTGAGGCCCGGCACCTCAGTCCCCACAGCCCCTGGGACCCTGCCCACCAGGGTATCCCCTCCTCCACACAGAGCAGTCCTTACTCCCCCTACCACCCAGGCCACAGCAGGGCTGCATGCAGGTGGCTCTTCCTCACCTACCTCTGGGTCCTTGGCTCCTGGGGGCCCCATCCCAGCACACACTGTGCCCCTCAAAACTTCAGTGTGGTTCAAGGTGAAGAAAGCATATCCCACTGACCTCCAGCTTCAGGGTCCAGGGGAGCCTGGGGGTGGGGGGACTGCCTTGACTCTGGTAGTGTGGCCTGTGCCAGCACCACAGCCAGATGGAGGAGCTCAGGCAGTGCAGGGCTGGCACGCGATGGGCTCACCAGTTAGCGGGGAACACAGTTCTGGGCAAGGAGGATCCAATATTGAGTAAAAGGAGTGACTCAGTACATCCTGGGTGCCCCCAGGCCGGGCCCGGGAGTCTGGACGTCCAGCTCAGCCCTTGGCCTGTTTGGGTGGCCACTCTAGTAGGGATACGGTAGGACTCCTGGCAGGGCCACCTGCAGACCCAGCCGCACACTGTGGCCAGACCTTACATCTGGCTGCAGATGCTGGCATATCTGCCTAGCGGTGAGAAGTGGCGTGGCCTCCCCATGGGCAGAGCAAGGACCCTCTTGATTCCCAATGCAAACCCCCCACCATCCCCAAGTGCCCCCATGTGCTGCCTGGCACCAAGTAGGCCTTTGACAAATAAATGGCAAATGGATGCAGTTCCCGGACCTGCTTCTTGCTGTCTGACAGCCACTCCTCTAAGTAATTTATGCACATGGAAGTATGTTCTCTTCACAGCTCCTGGGGACAGGTACTGTCACTACATCTCCACTTGCAGGCAGGGAAACTGAGGCCCAGAACTGTCAGGTGGCTTGACTCCTCCCACAACAAAGAGGCAGAAATTGTCACCCCCCCCCCCATCCCATGTGCACAGGGTGAGCCTGGGGGTGCTCACCCTGTGCAGTGGGAGGAGGGGCCGGTACTGGTTGGTGGGGAGGTAAGGGGTACGGCCATACTGTGCAGAATTTTTCTTTTGCTGTTTTCGAGGGTGGGAAAATCCATTTAAAACCTTTGTCACATTATCAAGGCTCTCTGTGACCCTACAGTTAAGAATCACTGGCAGGAAGATAGGAAAAAGTTATTTTGGGGTTGGCTTTTTACAAAACAGCTTTTCTGCAAAAGTGCAGGGATTTTACAAGAGGAAATAAAACATTTTATTTCTGTAACTGAACATAAAGCAATTCCAAATGCTTTTCTAGGCAAGACATGCCAGCAGTGAGAAAATGAGACACAGCTTAAAGACAGAGGTACATTTAATAGAGAAAACACTCCTGGAAGCTAGGCTGGCCCCACCCATTCTGGCTCAGTTCCTGCCCTGGAGGGAAGGGGCTGAGGAGCTTCCTGTCCCAAGGAACTGCCTCCCACCACGAAGTCTGCAGAAGGGCTGGCTTGGCAGTCCCAGGAGCACTGACCATCCCCTTGGGAAGGAACCACCCCTGGGGAGCCCAGTCCCTGCCCAGGGCCACAGGTCTTGCCCTGAAGACCCTCACTCAGGGACCACGTGCCCCGACCCTCATTTCCTCACCATTATAAAACACTTTAAAACCACTTAAGTTCTACCCCACAAGGTTGGGGAACTCACTGTAAACAATACACGTCTGTGTGTCAGCGCTAAGACAGCTGGCCCCACTGCATATACAGCTGGCAGCCCTGGCAAGACGCGGTCAGAGACGTGAGTGCTCTACAGGATTCAGAAATCTGACCACAGGGTACACACAGCTCACAAGTGCCAACAGAAGCTAATGACATCCTCCAGAAAATTCCATAATGTTATGATAGTGCAAAACCTGTTACAGATTGTAACCCTACCTCATTAGCAGTGTTTAATATATCTTACTATAAATACTGAATTTCTAATTACATGATATTCCTAGCAGCATTCTGACCAAACAGAAATCTTTTTTTAATTCCAGGAAGTAACTATGTGAATCCCTTCAATACTGTAAACACGAGACCAAGTGCTGCCCACGAGAGGGGCACCGCCAACCTCAGAGGACCCCTGAGCTGCACACTGCTGCTGCCTCAGGGAAGCACCCATGTCACAGGGCCTCCCGAGGGCCTGGTTTCTGTCACAGCAGCACAGACTACCCAGAGATATGCTGTACACCGGCAGAGCCAGACACTCCCATGCAATAGTTGCTGGGCCCCTGCACTGCACATGTGGCTGCTGTGTGGGGAGCAGTGATTATTTTGACAGCAACTCTGAAGAAACGTGCTGACTCTCATGCAGGGTTCCCTTCACCAGAAAAACAGCACAAAGGAGCAGGACGGCTGGGCCCACCACTTCTCTCTGAAGGCAAAAATTCAGAGCGCCAGATGGGAAATGACTTAAATCACTGCACTTCTATGGGGCGGGGTGGGGGGGAGGCGGTCAAACATCTGAGACTCAGATACTCAAATTCCCTTGCTGCTTCCCTCTCTGAAACATGAAACTTCCTCTACAAGCTGGCTTCAGGGAGGCCCTCTGGCTTCTCTTACCTATCAACACACTGCTCCACAGCCACAGTGCTGCAGAGGCCACCTCGGCCCTGAGGCCCCATAGCTGGAAGCCCCGGCAGGCTCCACAGAGGCCCCATGCAGCCTCATCTGCACCCATCAGTCTGAAGAGGTTAAAACTAAACTCCATATTCAGCCCTATGTTTATTCCTTCTAAATGTCCTTTTTCCTTTCCAGAGAACTGTCAGTAAGGGAAACTGGGTTCCAAACTGCTCAGCTTCCTCACAGGGAGAAGACACGCCCACCACAGGGAAAGTTCTGGAGCCCTCCTGCCTGTCACCTGTGCAGACACAGCCCACTGTGGGGGCAGCCACGGCACCTGCCAAGGGAAGCTGCTCTACAGCCCCCTTTTTTTGGGGGGTGGCTTCTCACAACCCATCAAGTTATATAGATAGGTGGGGTTTTTTGGTAGAGACAGACTCGCTATGTTGCCCAGGCTGTTCTTGAACTCCTGGGCTCAAGAAATGCTACCACCTCAGCCTCCCAAAGTGCTAGGATTACGGGCATGAACCACGGCACTTGTATGTATGTATGTGTGTGTGTGTATGTGTGTATATATATATATATATATATTTTTTTTTTTCTCCTTCCTCCTTTTTTCTTAACATTTTTTCTTTTAATCCCACCCACCATTACAGAACCTATCACATTTTAAAAAACATCTCTGTGTAAAATTTAGAAAGTTCCTGATCCATCAGAATCGCAAAAATGGTGTCAGGAGCCTCAGAAAAGGAGCCACAGCCACAGGTAGGCAGCTTGGGGACAGGAGCTCCACGGGGCAGCTTCTGAGTCAGGCACTCACCCACAACTAGATGGAACCCCGCCTCTTCGCAAACACGGCTGTCCTCAACACGATATGGGAGGAAATGACATGAAACTTTTAAAGGTATTTTAAAGTCTAGCCTGGTAACAAAACCCCAGGATGCTCTGTCACCAGCCCTTGGCCCCGTGCCCCACAGGAACCTTCCAAGGGTTGGAAGCAACAAGTGTGAGCCTCCGTTGTGCCGCCGCCTGCCCTGTTACGTGAAAGCAGCAAGCTGGCCTTTCACGGAATGGCCAGTGTTTCACAGACCACCCCTCTGTCCTACAGCCTAGCAGGCTGGCAAGGAGGTGGCACTTCTGAGCATCAGCCTTTGGAATCAATGCTCACCCCAGCGTCTATTTCGTATGCCCTTTACCTATGGGTTAGTCTGCGGACGGCCCTAAGAAAGATGGCCTCAGCATTGATCTGAAAATGTTCCTGTCAAGAGTCCACCATGTTACCTCATTCTGTAAAGCTGAAGCTTTTAAAAAGTGAAAGGCGGGCCGGGCGCGGTGGCTCAAGCCTGTAATCCCAGCACTTTGGGAGGCCGAGGCGGGTGGATCACGAGGTCAAGAGATCGAGACCATCCTGGTCAACATGGTGAAACCCCGTCTCTACTAAAAAAATACAAAAAGTTAGCTGGGCATGGTGGTGCGTGCCTGTAATCCCAGCTACTCAGGAGGCTGAGGCAGGAGAATTGCCTGAACCCAGGAGGCGGAGGTTGCGGTGAGCCGAGATCGCGCCATTGCACTCCAGCCTGGGTAACAAGAGCGAAACTCCGTCTCAAAAAAAAAAAAAAAAAAAAAAAAAAAAAAAAAAAGTGAAAGGCACATCTCTATGGGCTTTGTGTGCAGGGGCCTCCAGGAGAAAGAACAGTGCTCAAAAGGGGTGGGTGTGGGGCCCCAGGCCTGGCAGGCGCCCAGGGCCGTAGGCACAGGGACCTTGGAAACAGATACCCAGGGGATTCGCTTCCCACTGACCAGTGTCTGCTAAGCTTGAGACTTTACTGCCGCAGATCACTAAATGCCTATCGTTCTGAAAGGGGTACTTTACATTCCCAGATTCTTTATTTATGGCCCTTTTTTTTTTTTTTTTCCTCTTTTGAGACGGAGTCTCACTCTGTCTCCAGGCTGGAGTGCAATGGTACGATCTCGACTCACCGTAACCTCTGCCTCCTAGGTTCAAGCGATTCTCCTGTCTCAGCCTCCCAAGTAGGTGGGATTTTACAGGCATGCGCCACCATGCCCAGCTAATTTTGTATGTTCGGTAGAGTTGGGGTTTCTCCATGTTGGTCAGGCTGGTCTTTAACTCCCAACCTCAGGTCATCCTCCCGCCTCATCCTCCCAAAGTGCTGGGATTACAGGTGTGAGCCACTGTGCCCAACCCAATTTACAGCCTTATTACAATATTACAATTTAAAACCGAGCTTGGTGTTACGGCAAAAAGGTGGCAGGCAGGAAATGCAACAGCGTCTGTGAGCAGGAGCCAATCCCTAGCATGCTGAAGCCGCCTTGGCGCCCCGTGCCTCCCTGGGCCTGCCCGGCTGGGTGGTGGCTGGGGCAGCTCCTGGCACTAGGACTGCAGGCCGGGTAACAGAATGCTGGGGCACGGCCGCCCGGGTGTTTTGAAAAGGCACCTCCAAGGTTGGTGGACGTCACTATCTAGGAAAGAAAGCCAAGGAGTGCGGCTGGCACCTCCGGGCAGGGTGGTGAGGGGCGTGGCAGGGCGAGGCAGTCTCACACTCGCAAGGCGGGTTACCTAGCCCTGCCGCCCTCAGTGGGCCAGGTCAGTGTGGCTGGCACTCAAAGCTCGCGAGTCTGCCAGACAATTATTTCGTTCCTGCATGAAAAAACAAATGGAGAAATTACACTTAACCAGGACTTTCAATGATGCCAGCTTCAAATGGCCTCAAGCCTAACAGTACCAGCTACACAACTAAGTCTAGGTTGGCACTCGAGAGCCCCAGGAGTCACTGTGCATGGGGAAACTCCGAGAAACCAGAGAGCAAAAGACTGGGTCAGCTACAGAACCCTGTAAAACAGAGAGACCCTTTCCTCTCTATTGGGGTGGTTCAAGCAAAATGTCCAGCACCCTCCAAGCCTCTTCAGCAGCCACTGAGAAGGAGGCTGGGGAAAAGCCATCCAGAGGCAGCTGCCTCCCAGGAGTGTTGGGGGACAGGTCGGGGTGCCGGCCTGTCTGGGAGGATTAATGGATGTGGACAACAGGCAGGACAGTGCCTGGCCACCGTCACAAGCTCTCAACACCAGCACAGGGATGCGGACTGCCAAGTCCCAGCAGCTTGAGCTGCCGGGCACCTGAGAAACAGGCAGATTCTAGAACAGCCACAGGCACCGGCCACCCACTGACAGCCACACAAAGGGCTGAGTGGATGAAAACTCAAAAGGCCTCCGTGACAGGGAAGGGAGCCAGTGCTTTCAGGCACCGGCCACCAGCTGACAGCCACACAAAGGGTGGAGTGAATGAAAACTCAAAAGGCCTCCGTGACGGGAAGGGGAGCCAGTGCTGTCACATGTGAACCTGATGTGTTTGTGAG